AGGGAGGGGGACTTGATTGGGGGAAGGGGAGGGAAATGGGAGGCGGCGGTGGGGAAGAGACAGAAATCTTTAATAAATAAATAAATTAATTAAAAAAAAAGGCTGACCCTGAAAGAAAGACCAGCCTGACACCAAGGGTTAGTGGAGCCTTTACCTACCCGTAGGCAGGGCAATGAGCCCCAGGAGACTATCCTCAGGCCGTAGGACCTGAGGTTATAGCTTAGAGGTGCAGCATTTGGCGGAATGCACAAGGCTCTGGGATCTGATCCCAGCACTGGCAAAACAACTTCCTTGAGGTTAGAGATCCTTTTATTCCTTCTTACTTCTCCTTTGGGACAAGAATGATTATCTTGGGGCCAGGAAGAAAGCCACCATGCCTGGCTGGAGATGTCGGGCTTCTGAGCTAATAATAGATGAGATTTTAGTATTAAGGTTAATGATTTCCTGAGTTGGAGCTTTGGGGTTCCTGGAGCAGAATGAGTACTTTTTCAAGTGGAATGGCATGAAATTTGGCACTATAGTGGTTGATTAGTGATCCCCAAAAGATATGTCTAAACCAAAGCCCCTTACGCTTGAGATTATGCCCCCTTTTTTTGGAAATAGGTTTCTACAGTTATAATTAAGAATCTGAAGATGAGGTCATCATTAATTTAGGGACCCAAAATCCAGGACGAGGAGTGTCCTTTTAAGAAAAGGGGAGGACAAACAGAGAAGGCGACATGAGAGTGATCTGGTGGATACTAAGCCTGGTAGGGAAACACTATTTACCAAGGGAGACATGGGACACAGTCTCTCAGGTTTACCAAGGAGCCAACACTGGTGGTGCCCTGACTTTGGACTCCTGGCCTCCGAACTGGGAGTATAAAGTTATGTTGTTTTAAGCCACTAGATGGGTGTGGTGATGTGTTAATTCCCAGGAGCCCTGGGAACTAACAGCACATTGCACTCTGGCCTCTGTTCTCCCTGCTGCGTCCTGCCACCAGCATGCTGTGACAATGTCAAACACTCTCCTGTTTTACCATGCTCATCTTCCTTGACCCTTGGTACATCTGTGGAGGACCATTCTTCCTCCCACATGGTTTGTTTCCCTCCCTGGCTCTGGGTCTTGAGTGGTCACGACCCCTGGGTGCAAGCCCTCACAGAGTCTGTAGGCGGACACTTACCCGGGAGGAGAGGCCATTGGTGAGGCCATTGGTGGTCCTTCTCACCACTCCTGACGACGTCATCTCTTCTTCAGCAGGAGATTTTGTCCGAGGGGGCACGATGCCAACTATAGCGAGATAGAGCAACCAGTGGGCCTTGTGGGAAGCAGGGGCTAGAACATCTGCTTCTTGGGGAGAGGCCTGGTTGCTCTCTCTCCAAGGCCGAGAGTGGGTGAGTACGCTCCTCCAGCATAAGAAAGTACTTTAGCCTTACTTAAGCAAGTATGGGCTGAAATATACCTTTGTTGAGAGCTGCCTGCTTCTCTGCCTCCAGCTCTTGTCTGGTGGGCACGAGGCTGATGTCTCTGGGGGTATCCAGGAGTGATGTCTGGTCGGAGTCTTTCTTGCTTGACTCATAGCCTGTTTTGGTCTGGGAAGGAGGGATGAGAAGGTGGCTGAGTTAGGGCGAAGGCTACAAATCTGGCCTCCTTAGTGCCTTCCTTCAAATCCTTTAAGATACAGAGAACAGGGAAATTGCGTGAGTGCTAGCAAGTAGCGGGCAAGGATGGCTCTCACCTATGCCTCATAGACTGTATTCTCTTGGGAATGAGGGCCAATGAGGTTTCATTTTGGGCTAATCAGAGAGGTCCCTGCCCACCCCAGGTATCATGGAAAGCTGGAAGAAGCACAGACTGTGGGCTCTGGATCATAGTAGTCACGGGAGGGAGCTACAAATTCTAGGGTCTCTGAGGGTCCTGCAGGATTCATGTAGACTAGGCCAGAAGAACCAGGTAGACTTTAATACCAGGACTCTGGGGACTTGAAAAAAACTTTTGCTTGTGGGCTTCCAGAATCATGAGACTTCAAACAGCCTCTGAGCAGCCTCTTCCTATTGTACAGTCAAAGATTCTAAGCCTCATAGAACATTCAGGAAATAAGAACAAGGCTAGAGTCTGAAAGCACAGCCGTTGCCCAGACAGAACCCTAGACAATGGGCAAGTCTTGTCCATTTCTTAGTGTATAGCAACAATGTCAACTATTCCGCCTCTCTCACTGGTAAGGCCTCAGCTACACAAACTACATATAACCGAGTCTAGATAGAACATGGGTCTCCCAATAACATACAACCAAGTCTGAGTCTAATTATATACCTCTTTGTCCTAAGGACCCAGGTAAGAAGCCCAAGCAGGAGGTGAGGGCTGCTGTCCTTCCTTATACACCAGAGGCTCATGAGACCCAGTGAGAACAAGACAGAAGCCGAAGAAGAACACGAGAGGACAGGGGTCTGAGGTGGGCAAGGGGCAGGAAGGGCCTGGGATGGAGCTGGGGAAGAGGTCACTCCATTTCCTTTGGTTTAATCATCTTGGCAGGGCTCTGCGCCCACAACCATCAGATGCTCAGGAGCCGGGATTGGGTAGGATTGTAATTCATTTTCCACCATCCACAGGAAAGCAAAAGGGAAGACAGTCTTTGAGACTGTCACCCCAGGGCCAGAAGAGACAGCTTTGTGGAAATGAGTGGAAAAACAACCCCAGTGCTCTACCCTGCCCCTCGCCTGGGTCTTTGTCCCACACTGCACCGTCCCACCCTCCAAACCCCAAGGATGCTGGGTACCTGACCCCTGGCTGTGTCGCCACTGTGATGCCAGGAAGGGGAGTTGGGATATGGCCAGAAGCGGCTCTCATTAGGGAGTGGAGGGACGGTGGGAGGAGAGTCCAGGGGGACGTAGGCTTTGGGGAGGGGTGGCCGAGGTGGGCCAGGTTCCTGAGGCAGAGAGAAGCCAAAGCGTTAGGAGGAAGGAGAGCGGCCACTGTGAGAGCAGAAGAGAAAATTAGCAGGAGCCAGACAGTCTTAACCTATGAAGCACACCCCAGGCCTGAGCACAGCACCCCAACCCTGGCCTGGCAGAGCTCCAGATCCAACGGCAGCCCTCTGCCTGTCTCCTCAACTGAGCCCCTCCTGCCCACCCCTCCACATTGCTCCCCACTTTTCCAAAGCTCCCTCAGCACTGCCTCCCCATCACACCAGGGCTTTCCCATCCAGTATCTTTGCCTCTGTCTCCTTTGCCTGTACCCCATTTGGCCTCTCCCTGTCCAGACACAGCACGGCCACATATAAGTTCTACGCTGTCCTCCTTTGCAGGAGTGCAGTCTTTGCAGTCTGAACCATGTGACTCATTACTGATATACCACCAATGTCTCCTGTAGGTTGTTGCCTGCTATGAACTGGTCCCTTTTGGGTGCTGACTCTCTGAACAAAAGGCCCTGGGGGCCTGCCTAGGTGCCTGTCTAAGAGTTCATTCCATCCCATGAACACCGAATGACTAGTTGACTGACTGACTAACAAACAGCTCCCCATGCTCAACCCCCTCACTTCAGGATATTCCTGGTTTAAATTCCCACCAAATATAGGGTATCTTTGGCAGCCATTTTGGGTCTCAGGAAGATTTCCTTGTGAGGAGCTAAAGAGGGCAGTGCTGGGGAAACCCCAAAGGGAGGTTACAAACCACTATGATAATGGTCCCAAAACACTAGGATGGGGGCCCTGGGGAAGAGCTAGGGAGACTGTGTGCCCTTTCCGGTGGTCAGGATCTGGCCTTTCTGTCCCCATAGATCTTGTACTGTTTTCCCAGCTTACCTCGCTGGACCCTGGTTTGGTTGGAGATCCCTGAGAACCAGACACCATTGAAAAGGGGCTCAGGGGACTGGTAAGGCTGGCAGAGCTGAGAGGGCTGGCTGGGCTGTTGGAGCTATAGGTGGCTGAGGTGCTGAGTCCTCCTGGAGAGACAGAAGAGAGGGGTAAAGAGTGGAGGGAGGTGTGGCGTGTACGCACATGGGTACAAGGAGTGGAGAGATGGCGTGTACGCACATGGGTACAAGGAGTGGAGGGGGGATGATGTGTATGCACATGGGTACAAGGAGTAGAGGGAGGTGTGGGGTGTATGCACATGGGTACAAGGAGTGGAGGGAGGGATGGCATGTATGCACATGGGTACAAGGAGTGGAGGATGCAAGGGAGACACCTGCAGGTGGTGGGGTCACAGGCTAGCTACTAAGAGGTCCTCTAAGTAGCAAAGAGAGCAAACAGAGGTGACACTGCAGCCTCTGAAGTGACAAAAAAATCCAGTCTGAAGCCCTGGGCTCAGGGATAGCTCTGAAGTCACTTGGGGGTCCCTGGGCTCAGAGATAGCTCTGAAGTCACTTGGGGGTCCCTGGGCTCAGAGATAGCTCTGAAGTCACTCGGGGGTCCTCTAGTGTGAGTTAGCAGAAGCATAGATGAGTCCAAGAATGTGGGGGTGCCTACCCCTGTGCTTGGCCGTGTCCGTGCCCCGAGACGGGTTGTTCTTCCTCAGCCCTTCCATCACGTCTTGGATCCGCCAGATCTCCTTCTGAATTTGCCGATTGAGCACCTCATTCTGAAACAGCAGAGAATGACTCGAGGATGTGCCAGCCCTGCCCGAGGCCTGGACCCCTCTGAGCAGGCTTTGGAACCCCTGAGTTCCTGCCTACACACCCCTCTCCAGCATACATAGCTTTCTTATGGGAAGTCTGTGCCTCTTTAGCCAACACAGAATTGAGTCCCCAGAAAAGCGAAGACCTCAGAAGCCGGAGTGAGGAACCCCTACTGAGCCAGCATAGGGGACCAGGGAACACAGCCCATTTTCTATGGGGTAAGACTTTCCAGTGGTTTTTTTGGTCTTTTCTTCTTTCACATTCCAACAGCCTAGCCACGAGCTACATTCTACTACAGCTCACATTCTGAAATTTAACAGCTGCCATTTTCTTCTGTGTGCCTCGGTACCAGGCACTGCTCCAAATGCTTTGCATGCACTAAATCAGCTGCAGGACGCCCCACCGAGGTACCCAAGCAGCAGCTCCTACTGCAGAGAAGAGAGAGGAGACCGCATCCAGGGCCATCCACCGAGTAAGCCACACAGCCAGTGTCTAAGGATGGGCCTTTCTGAGTCAGAAACTGATGCTCTTGCCCATGGCCCTCCTCCCTCCTAAAATGCGTGCACTTTAAGTGCAGCTGGTCCACGGGTCTGGGTCTCCTGGGTCCTCACTTTACCCTGCCCAGCCCAAGGTAGGGAGGTTAATTTTGCTCTCAGGAGGAAAGCAGGATGTTAACTGCATCTGAGGGACAGAGCTTACAAAACCAGCTAGTGAAGAGACAGGGCTCAGCCAGACAAAAGACAAGGGCAAAAATAAAATAAAACAGAAGCCTCCACCATCTACCCCTTCCTGAAAGCCGCCCGCTTCTTCCCTATCCCCGGAAGATAAGTCCTGTTGTTTCTAAAACTGCAAAGGTGGTTCCTGCACTGCCAGGCTCTCCAGTGTCTAGGGGTATTTATAACCACATATCTGTTTTTAAACCCTTTCAGCCATAGAATATGCTGATTCTAACCTAAGTCTCTTGTCTCATTAGCTCCAGCCCCTGTGAGTTGAGAGGAAGTATAGGCTGCAGTGGTCCAGGCCTCTCTTTTCTTCTTTCTCCCCCCCTCCCTTTCTCTCTCTATGTCTCTCTCTATCCTTCTGTCTCTGTCCCCCCACTCAGGACGAGTTCCTTGTCTTGTACTGAAACGGCTAAATCGAGAAAGGCAGCCACTCTGATCTCCTTTGCCACAAAGGACAAGGGGAGATGCAGACCACGCCTTGCCCGCCCCCATGCTCGGGGCTCCCCCTTTCACCTGGATGTCCAAGTTGAGCTGTTCCCAGAGGTCGTCGTGCAGGGCAGAGACCTCAGACTCGAGGTTCTCATACACCACTGTGCTGTTGGTCAGTGCCTGCAGGGGAGAGGATTACCAAATCTGAGAGTTCATCTCCTCAGCTCGATGGGATTGACGATCACCAGGACTGAACACAAAGGGCAGGGCGAGCTGAGCACCCCATCCATCTCTGCTTTCTGAACGCAGGTACAAGGGGATAGCCGCCACAGTGGTGGGCATATTCCCTTCAAACTGTGAGTCAAAAACCCTTTGTCAGAGCAACAAGAAAAGCAGCTAAGCCAGGGAGGAAGCTGCCTTCAACAATGCCTCCCTCCTACTGCTGCAACGGAGTCTGGGGCTGGGATAATTGGGGTCTAAAGTCTGGCAAGAAAGCATCAAAGCTGAGGCATTCTGATGACGGCTCTCACTAACCCTCCTAGAGGGGCCAGAAATATCCCACGGCGCGCTAAAGGAGAAGCTGAGTCCTTTCAGGTCAAAGAGGAAAGTTCTCAGTCATACTCTTCTGTGCCACTCAGGACAGGGAACAAGAAATGAGGGTAGAGAGATGGAGCCTGGGAGAGAGCTGATTCTCTCCCCATAGAGACCCTCCTTCTCTTCTGGGCCACTGTTATTGGAACAAGTTGTGTTGAAGGATCCATACTTGTCCCCTGTCTGGGCAATGGCAAGCCAGCCGGTGCCCTGCTTCCTCAAGGCAGAGGGCAAAGTGAACAGCATATGGGTTAGATGAACCAAGGATCTCAGTAACCCTCAGCTATTGCACTGCCTCAAATGCAGCCTGTGGGGAGTGAGCTTGCTTACAGGGTAGAGACACTTTGGAACGAACACCTAGGCAAACTTGCTGTTTGTGCATGCCCGCTGCACAGGAGTGCCCTTGCATCACTGCTTCCACTGTCTTAGGAGATACCCGGGTCAGGGTAGTATAAGGGGAGCTCAACAGCCGCAGGCCCTGCTCCCCGGCGTGTTACCGTAGTGGCCTGTGACAGTTCCACTCGGATGTTGATGAGCTGGTTTTGGAGAGACTCCTTTTTGTGCAGCAGCTTCTCTGGGTAGGCGGGCTGGCTTCCAAACATCTCCAGCTCCTGGTGGGTCCCCATCAAGGCACTTTCCAGGCTCTCCTAAAGAAAGACAGGGATGGTATGAGCTGCCCCGGTGACCTTCTCTAGATGCCTGAGCCCCTAGTAGCTCAATCAGGTAGCTTAGACAAGGTTATCCTCAAACTGGCTGTTGTCCCGGGAGATAAGAAGTCTGAGGAATAAAAAGTCTCTCAGGTGGTGTAAGGACAGAGTTGGCATCTCATCATCCCATGCCAGCCCCACCTCTACAGACACCCCAGAGTCTCACCTTCTCCGCTCGCAACTGCTGCACCAGCCGGTCCTGCTCCCTCACCACCTTGTTCTGCTCACACAGCTTGCCCAGCAGCTTCTAAGGGCCCAGAGGGGAGAAAGGAGGAGATGAAGGACATGGTTTCGTGGGGACTTGGGAATCGGACTGGCAGGGCCTGGCCTCTGGATACCGCCACTTTCCCCAGCCAAGAAACCTGGGCCTTCACCGTCACCTTGAAAGCTCAGGAAAGAGCATGAAGGATCTCTTCATCTTAGGAAATGAGATAGAATGATCCTCTGAGTGGAGGTAGCAGGGGGTCAAGTACATCCTACCCTACTGTGGGGGTACAGTGCCCAGAAAGCTGAGAAGACAATATGGCTTCACCTCCTTGACTCGGGTAGGGGGCAGACAGTATGGGAAGAAGCAGTCTTAAAAGAAGCAATATAGCGTAAACTGGCCCCTCAGCCACATGGGCCCCAGTCTCTCTTATCCTGAGATTCTGAGTTCTCTTCCTCTAAGGCAGCGGTTCTCAACATGTGGGTCATGACCCCCATAGGGGCTGCATATCAGATGTCTACATTAGGATTCATAAAAGTAGCAAAATTACAGTTGTGAAGTAGCAACAAAATAACTTTATGGTTGGGCTCAGCACACACAAGGAACTGTATTAAAGGGTCACAAAGCTAGGAAGGTTGAGAACCATTGCTCTAAGGTTTCCGGATGGCTGATGGAAGCTCCTCTTAGTTGGTCCTTGCCTGAATGCCCCTCCTAGGCCTCGGCCTGGATCTGATACGAAGCAGGATCAGTGGTGAGGCTGCAGGCAGAGCCCACTCTCAGTTCTGAGGAGTCTTCCCATGTCCTCTCTTAACTCACATCTTATGCTTAGGTCCTCTTCCTACTGAGCCAAATCTTGCCCCTTGGGGCTTTTTCTCTCAAGGCCTTTCTCATTGGCTACCTGTTTTGTCATTGACCCACTCTTGGTCCTGTTCAGTAAATGAATCTGATCTTGACATCTGAGGCTACCTGGGGTATACCACTGCATAAAGCTCCCGGAGGGCAGAAACAGGCCGTATTCTCATTATTATCTTGTGGTGTCTACCAAAGGCTGGGCACAGAGGGAACTGACTGATTTACAGTCAAACAAAGCCTAAGATTCCACTGATGTGGAGGAGCCCAAAGCTTGGTATAGACCCACAGAGCCAAGGTGGGAGGGGAGGTGGTGCGAAGTCCAAGAAGAGAAGGGGAAGAAGGAGAGAGCAGGTGGGATGCTGTGTCTGTGGTCCTGATGAGAGGGCCTGAGTCAAATGTAAAACACCACCAGGAGAGAGAGGGGGATGGAGAAAAAGCCCCTTAGGGAAAGCAAGGGCACAGAGGATAACACGAGCACCGTGGCCAGAGGGAGCAGGGAGAGCTGCCCTTACATCCGTGTCTTGCTCGTTTAACTTGAAGGTGTGGAGGCCGTCCCGGAACACCTCTGGGTATGCAGGGACCTGCAGGAACATGAGGTCGGTTACTACGGCAGGGGGAGGGGAGGCTGGGTGAGTGGGAAAGCTGACATCACAATCCTGCTTCCTTTCTGCCAGAGACCACTGCCCATCGTGCACTACGCCCCCGTGCCAGGGACTCAAGCTAACTCTATGTCCTTTGGCTGCAAAGTCTGTGATGGTGCCGTCTTGATTTTATCCTGATCGTCTGTGGGCTGATTCTGGAGAGGTTAGAACTTTGTTGGCCACATAACCCGTGTCTCCTGTCCCCTGTTGGAGGCCTGCTGGAAGGTAGCGATCTCGATGGTAACAATCATGAGAGCATCAGTGAGTTTGTAGGGACAGCATAGGAGAGCATGGCAGGAACAAGCACCAGAAACCTGGAGAACTGCTGCCCCCGTAAACTGAACACACCATTCACAGAGCTCAGTCTAAGCCAGGACTGGCAAGATTCCAAAAGCCAGCTAATGCGGCCTTGTCGCGGCAGTCATGGTGACATGTTTCACAAACCCGTGACACCCTCCTCTCATGCCCCGGCCCCGGGAATAATCGTCAAGAACAACAGCAAACATGAACTGGGCATCCTGGCCATTCCAAAGCAGGTTTGCAATCTTCAGCGAGCATGAGATGCTGCCGCTGGCCGTTTTAACGGGTCAGGAAATGCAGCTTGGGTTTATCGGTGAACATGAAGAATGAAGGTGGCATGGTGGAGCTGGGGAGGAGACAGGGGAATATCTGGGGAGATGAATGGGTTGAGTGACGCGGCCCTCATCCCACATGGGGTGACCCGACCATGCGCAAGCAGCTGAGATGGCATTGACAGGGACCATGCCGGCAGCAGGCAGAGGCCTTACTTGCATGAAGAGCTGGGCCCTGGGGGAGGAGCTCTCCACCATGCGGTTCACCATACTGATGAGAGTCTCACTCTCACTCATCTGCAGCAGAGGAAGGAACAGAGGATCCACTCAGCCCTGGGGAGGCCATCTCCCCACACCCCCAGTGGTTCTGTGCAGGAAACAGGGAGGGGCAGCTGCTCTTGGGGCCTCCAGCACCCGGTGCATGGCCTCGTCATTTTTTTCACCCTGTGATCTGTTTCAGCACCGGTAAAGTAGGGTGGAAGATACCTGGCAAGACCCAAGGACTCTGCCCTAAGGCTGCCTGACCACACTGGCCAAGCTGTCCCCTCCTTCCCACTTCTCACACTGTTTCCAATGAAGACCACATAGTCTCTTCAAACTGACATTAAACCAAACTGAGAGAGCAAACCTGGGACCTACTCTCTATGCAGCAACAACCCCCCTCCCACCTCCAGATTGCTACACAGTTTCCAGAGCTGGGCTGGCAGCATCCGTGAGGAAGGATCTCGGATGGCACTGGGAAGCGAATAAGGAGGTCGAGACAAGTGAGCCATGTTAAAGGGACACCAGGTGTCGGAACACTGCTCTCTGACACGTCATCTGTTAATTTCAAGGACCACTGGGAGAGTGGAAGGGGAAACTGAAAGGGGGAGGGAGGGCTGGAGAGAGAGAGAGAGAGAGAGAAGGGTGGAGAGGGAGGGGTGGAGAGAGAGGGAGGGCCATCCAAACCAATCAGCTATGCCCTCATTTGTCCATTGGTTCCACTGGGAGAGAATCAAAAATGAAACTGTCAGGGAATGTCCTTGGCTGTGTCCCTTTAACTACGTGTTCCACAGCAGATGGCGGGAGAATCAGAAGGGAGTGTGCAGGGAAAGCTTTGGAGACATAAAGTAACTAAGCCAAGGACAAAGCCACATCAGGGATGGTCTTGCGGGGTCAGGATTTTATCCACCACCTCCCCCGTCTTGGTCAAGCCTGCCGTCTTTTCTTTCTCTTACCTCTTGAGACAACACCCCAAACACAGCTTTCTTTCTGCCATGCTGTGCACAGAGAGAAAGGCAACCAATGCCCCCATCTGCAGGGTCTACAGCATTTTAATTAAAAAAAAAACAACTTTTACTTTATGCATACATTTTGCTGGCATGTATGTCTGTGTAGCATGTGCCCACCACAGAGGCCGGAAGAGGGCACTGGATGTCCTAGAAGATTGACAGGTGGTTCTGAGCTGTCACATGGGTGCTGGTAACCAAACCTGGGACCTCTGGTAGAGCAGCCAGTGGTCTGAACTGGAGCCAACTATCCAGCCCCAGGTCTGCAATATTTTAAAAGACTTTCTAACACTCAATTTTTCTATTCCTGTATGCATAGTTAGGGTTTTCTGTGTGGTGTAAAGGCTTCAAGAATGCCCATAGTATAAGGGGGAATATAAGAGCTACAAAACCAACAGGACAGCCTCCTTATTTTGTGTAAAGACCTGAAGTCAATCCCTATCTGTAGTGCTATATTACTTGTGTTTTTATAAATAAATCTTGCGTGAAGACCAGAGGCAAAGCTAAAGCCACTAGAGGTCGGGCAATGGTGACACACACCTTTAATCCCAGGATTAAGAGTCATAGAACGTGAAACTCTTAATCTCAGGGTCGTGGGTTTGAGCCCTATGTTGGGTGCCAAATGTAGCATGAATAATAAAAACTCAGAGACAGAAATTGGGGTTCAACCCAAAAACCAAAAAAAGCAAAGCAGTCAAGTCACTAGAGACGTCTTCCCTCTACCAGGGCTGGACGACCTCAACATAAGCAGATCAGCCTCTCTCCTGGCATTTTATATTCCGTCCAGTGCTGGGATTAAGGGCATATGACTCCCTAGTACCGGGATTAAAGGTGTAGGGCACCACCACCTGGATTTATTTCTGCATTGATCTGTGCAGCCCACGGTGGCTTTGAACTCACAGAGATCCATCTGACTCTGTCTCCCAAATCCTGGTATTAAAGGTGTGTGTCACCATTGCCTGACCTCTAGTGGCTTTTGCTACTATCTACTTAAAGAGACCAAGTGTGTGTGTGTGTGTGTGTGTGTGTGTGTGTCTGTGTGCACACGTTTGTGAGTGCATAGTGGACAAAGAGGGACCAGGGTCTCCCTGGGCACCCGTTGACCTCGCTTCTTTCCCATCAGAGGTTTGCTGGAACAATGCCCCACAGAGAGCTCCCCCATGCTTCCCAATCTGATTCTCCCTACTTTAAAGAAAAGCAGACTTAACTGTGTTTGAAAATAAAGAACCAGGGAGACTGGCACATCCCCGGGGCTGCCCAGCATGGCACCCCTGGCTGTGTCCGGCCCCTCATCAAACAGGGTTGCCTATAAAAACATCCTCCTACAGGCAGTAGGGTAATACAGAGGTGACGCTAAAGACCCTAGCAGTCAACCCCTCTGGGGGACAAAAGTCACTCTGTGTTAAATGCTGGGACAGGCAGTCATTGCGCAGGGCAGAGCAAGCCACAAAGCTGCAAGGAGGACAGCCTGCTTGGGGGGCTGGTGATGGTTGCTCTGAACCCACCTCCCTTCAGGGCATCACAGGTCTTGCTTCCCTTTGGGAGGACCCAGCACTTCCAGCCATGCTTGGGAGAGGGCATCCTGGGGTTCATCCCACATGGCCTAGCATGCTTATAGCATGGACATAATGCACGGCTTTTGGAACAAGAATGCAAGGCCCTTGAGGGCCAAGAGCTGGTCCTGCTGACTAAACTCTGGCAGTCAGAGCTTCCCAGTGCCTAAGGCCTTTTACAAAGATGATCTCACCATTAACAGGGAGGCCATAGGAGATGACAGGTCACAGGACAGTCACTGGAAGAACGTAGAGCCATAGCCATGAAATTAGCCATACCAAGGTCACGTTTCTGCCTACGGATTTATGAGTCTGAACTTGTCCTGTTGGGATGTGATTCTGGCCTTGTCTCCCAACTACAAACCAGGGTAAAACCTAAACTCTGCTGTTTGCTGATTGTGTCCTTGGCATGTTTTTAAACCTCTGTAAAACAAGATAGTCACAGTTCCCATCTTGTAGAATTATTACAAAAAGTAAAAGAATTGTGATCTATTATATTCAGTCTATTATAAGGCATGGAGGAAGCACCAAATTATTGGGGCTGCTATTACTACTACTACTACTACTACTACTACTATTATTATTATTGAGACAGGGTCTCACTGTATAACTTTACGTAGCCTGGAACTCATTATGTAGTTCAGGCTGGCTTCAAACTTACAGAGATCCAGCTGCCCCTGCCTCCCAAGTATTGAGATTAAAAACACACACCACCAAACTTTAATTATTCTTAATATTATCACTATGATCATCTCTACCACCGCAGGCTGGCTTTACAGGAAAATGATAAGGACTTCCAGACTCCCTCTGAGTTATAACATATATCTAAGATTAAGTGTATGGGTTTACCTGAAGCCTGTATAGACAGAGTGTTTTTAGATAGCCCTCTTTGGAGTTAAAAGGCAGGGAGCAAAGGGAAAAGCCTGGAGTAGGAACCAGGCAGCCAGCAGCTCTCATCTCACGGGGATATTCATTGCCTGGTTAGCTTGGTTATCATCCAACCTGAGCTGACATTACTGCCACTGTCAACCACACTGAATTCCCAGGACCATGAGCTGTATATGCAGAAGAGCTTGGTACCAACATATGGAATTGATATCATTTTCTAAACCATACTAGGGCAAATCTATAGGACCCCAGTTTATAACTACAGAGCTTACCAATGACCAGTAGAACAGGATATGAATTTCCCACATCCAGGCTTAACTAAACCCTTGGCATCTTAGGCACAAATCTTGTCTCTATTCTCTTGAGCAAAAATGCCAACTCCCACCTGCCCGTGAGGCCAATTCCACATGGGCAGAGCACTGGAGAGTGTGAATAGTGGTAATTAATTAATTGTCTTCCCATTTATATGTTTCTTTTCTGAGGACAACCCCAGCTGCCCGTAAGGGATTCCGAGGGAAAGGAGATGAGGGAGCAAATCAAAACACAAGTCACTTTATTGGGTCCTGGTGACGCCAACAAAGGTTGTCTAATGGCTGGAGGATGTTAGGGATGGGGGAGGGAGACAGGACAGGAGGGCATGGGATGGTGAGGGCACCAGCTCTGCCTACCTGCTGGTCCAAATACTCTAGGTTTCTTTGCAACTGAAGATCTAACAGTTCATCCTACCCGGAGCCCGAGGCCCAAGGGCCAACCAGCAACACAAACAAACAGGAACACACAAAAGAAAACGATAAAAAAAAAAAAAAAGAAGCAAAGTAGTTAAGAGTTATCTGGGCATGGTCAGGGAAAAGTCTCTGTCTTGTCCTTTAAGTGGTTCTAGGGTAGAAGGGGACGAGACCAGGCAGGTGGAGAAGGGATGAGGGACACACTCTCTCCCCGCTGTTACCTCTGTTTACCCTGCAAATCTGATCAGAAGTGTTTCCAATTTTTCTGGGAAAACAGGGTATTTCTGGAAAGGTACATTTGCTGTGGATAAAGGCGATGGTGAGCAGCAGCGTAGAGAGTAGCTGTCCTCACATCCGCCAGCCTCCTGCACCCTAGCCTCCCTTGCTGGGGATGGGACACAGACTCTTTAGTCCCCAACCCACTGACGTGGAGTGTCTGGATCTGACCCTCCAGAGGCACACATTTCATAGAAACAGCAGAAAAGGGAGCAAACACAATGTGGTCTGCACTTTCTTCCTCAGTCAGAACCCTGCCCCTTCCCCACAGGTGGCATTCCAAACAGAGGCAAGCCCGAGGCAATACACCAAGGGGGAAAGTCCACATGCACTAGCCTGGGAGTCCTACCCTGCCTGCCTCTGCATCCAGCTCATACTCCTAACTAGCCCTGGCCCCTCCTCTTGCGTGCTGGTGAGAAGAGCTGCGCTGAGGGACGGAGGAACAGGAGAGCCTGTGCTCTCTGCTCTGTGCCACAGAGAAGAAGGGACAGCTAGCCCCAAACCCTGTCCTGAGGGCTTGAGGCTTGGCGGGGAAGGAGGAGGTATCCAGAGACTTCTACAAATACACGGGCCAGGCACTGGACCCAGAGCATCCCTGGCTCCTGCCCCAGTTCAGCTCCACCTTGGGTGGATGCAGGCGAGGAGGTCCTGAGGTGGAGTGGAAGGGAGGAGAGGACGTACCATCTTATCGTGGACCGTGGGGGATGGTGGGTAGTTGTAGGGGAACAGTCCTGCAGGGACTGGCCGCCTGTCTCCCAGGTAATCATACTGGAAGAGAAAGGGGATTGCAGAGGTGAGAGGCTATGGCTGGGCTGTGGACTTCCCACCAAGTCAAGTTCAAGGTTATAAGGGCAGAGTTCAAACTAAAATGTACAGCAACCCCATTCACAGCAACATATCTGAGACCTCAAGACCAGAGGACAGATCTTTTCTATTCTCTTAGACATCGCACTATATTTAACACAACCTGGGAATGGGCAGGGTTCCTATTTAGAAGCCAGAACAACCCCCACGGCAGCTCTCTTAGGGATGGTACCACAGGGCAGGCTCCCTGGGGCAGATCCCAGATATCCCAGCATTTGCAGCCCTTCTCTGCAGATGGCAGGCTGGTGACTCACCTTTGGGGAGCTGATGGAACGCCTCATGACATAGGCAGCAGGGTCTGCATAGATGTCCTCGCTGCGAGGTGGCAGCCGATCAAAACGGGCACTAGGTGAGCGCACGGGGGAGTAGATTCGGGCACGACTGTACGAGCCCTGGCTGGGTGAGCGGGGCACAGAGTGGGAACGGGGTTGCAAGGACAGGCGTCGCAGGGAGCCAGAGGCAGCATCCAGCTCATCATAATACACTGGCTGCCGGGAGGGGCTGGGGATCCAAACAGTGCCATCCTGACGCCCGTAGCTGGCGGGCTCCTTCCATTCACGAAGCTGGTAAGTGGGTCCACTCCCGTTGCGGAAGGAGTGGCGCTTGTCCTCCAGGGCCCAGGGCGGGCTGATCCTGTCGTAGGCTGGCATGGAGCAGATGCTGTCTGGTCGCACTCCGGGTGGGTAGTACTGGTAATCTTCTGGGTACTGGGAGGAGTAGGGGCTGTAATACTCGGGGACCCGGCGGGACACGGGGTAGAACCTTGAAGGACTGAAGGGGGGGCATTGTAAGAAAAGCAGACAACATGGACCTGTGCACCCAGTCCACCTCCCAGCCCTCCAGCTAACAGTAGGTGCTTGAAAAGGTGATGGAGCCCCGGGGCATCCAGTGAGCACACAAGGGAGGTCACTGCCCAAGGCAGGTTCTAGGCTTATTCTAGAGGTGAGAAAAAGTCCCACTCTCAACCTGCTTCCTAGAACAGAAGATTGCACCATTCAGAGTTCAATCTGTGTGTCTTTAAAACAAAATGTCCTGGAAGACAGCCCTAGGCCTTATCTGCCATCTCCATCAACAAATTCACCAGGTCCTTTCCAAGACAAGTGGTAGAGGAAGATACACAAACGTACCAGGCTCCTGGAGGATGACAGTGGCTTTCTAGTTAGACGCTATCAGAGCCAGTAGGCACCCAGACTTACAGCCAATGCCCAGGTACTCAGTCACCAACAGTGAGAGAGATGTTAACTGTCTAGAAAGGTGGCTTCCTCAGGGCTCAAGATCCCCCTGAGGCTGTACCCACAATTCACGGAGCTCCCTACATCCCGAGCTCATCTGCCCTGGCAAACGCTATCAGGCTCGATGGGTACCACCAAATATTTGAAAGCCAGTCATCAGATAGGTCCCTGTGTTTATCCATGGAGCAAACTGGTCATCAAGGAACAAAGCAGGACAAACGAGGTGCCTTGTTTCTTTGAGACAACAATACCCCCACCCACCCACACACAACTTGCTATAAACAGTGGCTTTGAAACAACAGAACTGTTTAAAACAGCATACATAGTTCAGATCCCAGTGAATAAAGCACTGGATTCAGATGTTCCAGGACCTGTAGCATGGACTGGTGTTTGAGGAACAGCTTCAAGGCCTGCCTCTGCACCTGTCTGACTCCTGCCTATCCCAGGCATGGTATTGTATATCTCTTCCCTCCCCTTCCCTCTCCTCTCCTTCCCTCCCTTCCCCTTCCTTTCCTTTCCTTTCCTTTCCTCTCCTCTCCTCTTCTCTCTCTCATATAGGGTCTCGTGTCTAGACTATTCTCCATGCAGTGGAGGGTAGCCTCAGAACTCCTGATCCTCCCACCTCTGCCTCCCAAGAGCTGAGATTACATGAATATGCCTCCATGCCCAATCTCTGTCCTTCCCTTTGAAGGCAGACAGAGATCAGAGGCAAGGATTTGGACAAGCTGAGCCTCAGGGTCTGTGTTGGCTTCCCAGCATAGTCAGCTCCCAGAAGGTTCCCAATAAAGGGCTGCCCCATAGGTTATGCTCCCTTCCCATGCCCTAGCTATAACAACCCCCCCACAGGCCACCTCACCTCCGAAGGTCTTCGGGTGGGGGCACCCCACGGCGCAGGTTCACCCACTGCTGAAGCTGATTCATGGAGCTTTTGCGTTGGGCAATTTTGTCGGGGTCAGTGCGCGGTGGAAAGCTCCGCCGGTTTCCCCCAGTGTCCCCATCATGAGGGGGGAAAGCCGTGCTCCCTGGTCGGCTTGGGGAGTTATACTGCCAGCCATTGGGCTGGGAGGGCGGCTCTCCACCTCCAGGGACCCTTGGGCCATCAGGATAAGGACTGCCAGGCTCCGAAGCTGGTTCAGGTCCAGATGGGAGGCCATTAGCTTTCACTAGAGGCTCTTTCTTAACTTCAGGCCTCTCGGGCCTTCGCTCGGCCTTCTCGCAGCCTCTGCCGTCCCCCTCCCCTCGAGTCTTGGCCTCGGGCTCTGGCTTGGGGAGACTGTTGAGAGGGGGCTGCTGAAGAGCTTTGCTGGGTGGGATGTTCTCCGAGTCTGGCTTCTCGTGGCTGCAGGATGCCAAGTTAGAGGCTGTCAGTTGCACTGGCCCAGCAGTGTGGGGTAGGGTGGGGGTGAGTGGGATGGGAGGATTGGAAAGGAAGAGGCAGAAAGGAGGTGATGGAACCAAGGTAGAGTGAACCCAATTCTTCTTCCAAAATCCCAGGCTTTACTTTATTGCCGGGCAGTGACGAGATGAAGTCACACAACTGTCCAGTGAACACTACACTTGCTCTGCCCTCCAGGCCCATTGTCCAAACCACTCTTCCTTCTGCTGCTGATACTGAGCCCAGCCCTTGGCTGTGGTGGCCTCTCTTTTCAGTCTTCTCTATTATCTGTCTCCAATACAGCCCTCCAGACCCGGCTGACACTGTACCCCAGTTTCAGGGCAGCTACTCTGCTTAGCAAAAGACTTGTTCCAGGTCCACCCTGTGTCTTCCCACGAGTCCTGCGGACTCTTCACTGGCAGACTGGACAGAATACCGCCTGCCCTCAGAGGGCTGCTTTGAGATACAGCATGGCCGGCGGCAAAGGCACAAGTCACTGTCTCTAAGCAGGTAGACACGAAGGTCCCTCTCCAAAGCACAGCTCTTCCGGGTCCAGTGCCGTCAGGATGTGAGGTCCACAGGGCAGGAACATGACAGGTTTTCATCTGTGGTGCTCCTAGGACCTGCTCTAGGATCTGGGTCCTGGTTTGTTTTATTTATTTATTTATTGTTTGTTTGTTTGTTTGTCAACCTAGAGTTATCTGGGGAGAAGGAATCTAAACTGAGAGTATTACTCCATAACACACGTCTGTTGGGCAATTTTTTGATTGATGTGGGAGGGCCCCCCCATGGGCAGGGTCACCCACTGAGCAGGTGCTCTGGGACGGTATAAGTAAGCAGGCTGAGCAAGCCACAGGGATCAGCCAGTAAGCTGCGTTTCTACATGGCTTCTGCTTCAGTTCCTGCCTCCAGGCTCCGGCCTGGAGTTCCTGCCCTGACTTCTCTGCATGATAGGAAGATCCGCTACCAACTATAAGAGGAGATAAATGCTTTCCTTCCCAAGATGCCTTTGGCCAGTGTTTACCACAGCCGTACAAACGCTGACTAGTCTGTCTGTCCTCTTCTTGGCAGATCTGTGAAGCGGATAGATAAAGCCCTGGCAATGCACAAAGATGGGACCCCTGAGGTAACTTCTCTCTAGAGCTTCCTGAGGTCAAGCTTCCTTGCTGAAGCACTGTTGGGTAAAGGTTTCTAAGACACATAGCCAGACCTGGGGTCTACACTGTAAGGCCCTTTCTTCTGGATCCCCATTCACCTAACTCAAGGCTCCACATAGGGAAGGGAGAGGCGGGTTGTTGTCGGGACCTCACATACCGTCTGCGGCCCTCCAGGATCCAGGACAAATCCAACTGCTAGACTCGAGATGAGAAAAGTTGGGTTCTGAGAGGTAAACTCGCTCATCCTCAGGTCACTGTGGCCAAGTAGCTAACCTATGATTCAAACCTGACTCCATTTTCCTCCATAGTGTTCAACACAAACAGCCCGGAACAGTGAGTAAATGACCCTAGTCTCTGGACCCTGGCCAAGCTTCAGTAAAACTCTTTGCAGACTCTCGCAGCTCAGAAAGAAGAGGAGGAACTGGTAAGGGGAGATGAAATTCAGGCTCTGCAACCTGCCAGCCAGGCCTGTTGCTTAGACGCAGGGTCCTCATCCCTCCAGAGGTTCAAGCCCACACAGGGGGCCCAGCAATGGTACAAAGCTGAGTCTGTCTTTCCTTTCCTCCCTTCCATGCCAGGCCCCCTGGTACTCACCTGTGCCGCACAGGCTGAGGCACTGACTTCTGGGCTGGAGGGATCTGTACCCGAGCAGCCTCGCCCATGGCCTGGATCCAGGCCTCTTGCTCCTCAGGGCTCTCGGCACTGAAGAAGTAGGTGCGGACTCCAGCGTGCTCGGCCTGTGGGGAGAGGCAGTGCGTGGAACTGGCCCCAGCCTCGTCTACCCGGTAAACAGTCACCTGCAGGGAAAGGACACCAACACCCACAGAAAGGGCAGTCAGTCAGTCAGGCTGTATACAGCCCCCAGCTTCTCCCCAGAGGAACTTAAGAGCCAGGCAAGGAGAGTGGCCTGCAGCTACCTCTCAGGTCCAGCCTGAGCTAGGTCTCTGAATATGATCTCAAAGCCCAGCAACCAGGAAATCGAGCCTACAGCACCCGCCTGAACTGGTTGTAAGCAGGAGGGGCAATTACCACAGCCCGTCTCCCCTTCAATTCCACCATAGTGACATGAGAATTACCCCAGGGCTGGGAGAGATGGTCCCCAAAACAGGTCCATCTCAAGCCCAATTTAACTACCAAGAAGCTGGCCCTACCCCTTGCTCAAAAGGAGACACCTGAGCATCCATGGCATGCAGGGCACGCACTCGCAAACAGACGGAACACACTACCTAGTTGATGGCCGTGAGCAGGCACAGCGGGCTGGAAGCCAGAAGAGAGCTTCTGTCCAGAGGAGAGGGTCCTCATGCGGCCAGAAGGAGGAGAGGCAGAGACAAGTCAACCGACACCAGAGGAAGAGACACCAGAGGGTGAGGAGCACGAGACGGTAGGACGGGAAGTTCCTTTCTCGTCAGTGTTACCACCCCAAAGGACAGCACTCAGCAGTGCCCAGCTCAGCCCAACAAGGGAAGAGGCACAGAGAGTATGCACTGCGGGAATCTGAACTATGGTGGGCAGTGAATCAGGGAGCCCCAGTGTTAACCATGGCTCTTCCGGCAGACAAGTTGCGATTTCACTCCAGTTTAAATGATGCAAGGATGGGCCGTAGGGAGGAGAGGTTCTGCCTAGTAAAACTCAAGGGGGAAAAAGGCCACGGGACTAGCTAGGTTCCTTCTGACCTTAGCGTATTCCCCTGGTGACAACCTCCACTCCTAAAAGAACGGAAATTAAAATTTATGTCACCTAACAGGGGCTTCCAGATGTGATTAGGAGTCTCATTCTGGCCATGGCTCCCCTGGGTGCTAACTATAGGTTGATGGGAGTCAAAGGGGAAAGGCCAGACCCTCTCTGGCTAAACTCAAGGCTTTCCTGAACACACCATGAACACACACTTCCACTGTTTTCTGGCCCAAACTTCAGGAGACGCCCTTCTGTATGCCCCACTTCCGTCTCCACCTTCACCCTTCCTCCATCTGGAGTTCTCTGGTCCAGGACTGAAGCTTCCTGGCTCTGGCTGGACCGCCCTTCAGCAGAGGGCCTAGCAGGAGGCAGAGCTGCAGAAGGGCGGTGCTAATGGACAACAAGAGAGCTGTAAAGAGGGGAAGGAGGATGCTGGGCCTTGAAATGGAATAGCAGTGCCCAGAGCCCAGGAAGGTCCACTGGGACAAGAATACAGGGTTAGCATGGTGGCGTGGGAGACACAGGCAGGGCTGCTGGTGTGTTGTGGGGTAGGTGGGAGTCAGCAGGTGAACCTGTTTATGCCATGAGCAACCTGTGTGTGCAGCTTGCTGGCTGGGGCACCAGTCACAAGGAAGATAAAGATTGCACTTGAGCTCGGTCACACTGGGAACAAAACATGCCACAAGGAACAAGGAGCAAACAGACCCAGGCCCAAGAGCTTGTGACAGGAGAAGGCAGAGGGCCTGGGAAAAGACAGGGCTATTGATGGGTACAGGGAGGGGCACCAGCTTCTAATATGAAAGGAGCTGGGGAAGGGGGAGGGGGGTAAAAGAAGCTAAGTCATTCAACCGTAGCCAGGCAGGGACAGTTCCTGGCTCCTCATTATTTGCCATCCAAGACTTGTGCTTGGTGGCCACAACAGGACAAGCCTCATGTCTGTCCGTCTCAGCTCCCCTCCCTTCCCTGGGGATGGGACATTGAATAGAACCAGTCAGAACCCTTTGTAGGACACTGGACATAGCTATCACGTGGGGCCCTGAAAGAGACAGTGTAGGACTTGGGGGAGAGAGGAGGGTGTGAGTGATTGGCAGGCACAGTAGTGAGCTCTAGGCTCTATAAGGTGGGTGTGTATCAGTCATTCTGGGACATTTCTCGGATGCTGCACTTGGCACAGCTCCAGCTTGAGGCTCTGTCAGGTCTGGTATGAAGGGCGAGACAGACTGTGGACGGTGTGTGGGTGCGACTGTATCTGTGGAGCGGGTCTGCTTGTTGGTTCAACAGCCTGTTCCTATTTTCCCAGCTAGAACCCAGCTCCCTGGAGTTAGACTTTTATTAATTGTTCATTCTGTTCACACCTCTGGCATGAAACCGTAGGAGGAAGGAAACTAGTTATGTGGCGAACAGGCCCCTCCCTGCTCCCTCAGCGGGCCCCATGTGTGCTGCCCACCTCTTTCTACCACGATCTCAGGGCAGGAAGAGCCTTGCAAGCTCAGACACCAACCTAATGCCACCTGTAGTTTCTGCCACATGTTTAGAGCCATGGCCTTGGGCTCTAAGGGTCCTGGGCACTAATTCTCAACTAAGAGGAGAGAGAGCTGTATACGAAGACATGCAGAGCCGATATTATTACTTCATATTCTGAAAAGGAGCCTAAGGCTCTTTGCATCACAAAACACAAAGGGCATGGGATTTTTATAGTTTTTAATGGGTCATGAATTTTTAAACGTGGAAAAATACCGGCCTCGGAGGAGCCAGCTGCAGGCGCAGCTTTGCTGAGTAGGTCCCCCAGGGGTTCTGAGAAGGGACACTGAACAGGAGGCGAGTCCCATTTTCCCATGCACTTGTCCTCTCAAATTGTCGTTTGCACGGCCAAAGGTGCATCTCCATGACAGGACACTTGCTCAGCATCCACAAGGCCCTGGGTTCCATCCCCAGGACCACAGGGCAGGGAATAATACTGTCTACATAAGGTTTGTAACTCAAGATTTAAAAAAATTCAACTCCTAATATTCTCTAAAGATGAAAATTTGAGTAAGTTTGACTGGGGGTTGGGGGATGGAGGGAGTGCCTCCATATCCCTAGGCTCCAAGTAGAAAGAAAACCTATTCAGAAAAGACTTCAGAACGAACCCCACCCACCACAGCTCTGTTCTGTAGCAGGGGAGGGGGTAGGCTGCTAGGCAGAAGGTCCAAAAGGCTCAGGACATAATTTTCGTCCTGGTAAACAGTACGGTATCACAGAGGCACAGTTCTGTCGGCTCACCTTTGCCATTCCTCCCCCCCCCCCAGAAGAAAAGGAGTCCCAGCATGGCCTCAGTTTCCCTCCCAAGCATCCAGAGGAGTCTAGGGATCACTGCCTGCTCCCTTCTCTACCACCATGCACGGGCTCCTAAGGGACATGCTCTTTAGACTGCACCAGTCCCAAGTTCTAGAAGAGCAGACTCCCTCCTTTCCCTGCCCAGAAGGGGAAGTCCAGCTGACCTTAAATGTGTGCTTCCGGCTGATGTTGTCCGAGGGCTGCACAGCTGCAACCCGGAAGCTCAACAGGGGGATGCTGCCCAGGATGCTCTCCTCCTTCTCATCTGTCGGGGAAACAGAGGAACAGGTGTGTGCATGCGTGTGTGCATGCATGTGAGCCAATGGTGCTGATGCAAAAGGAAGGGCAAGGAGTTCTACAACATTACTAGGATAAACATCAATGAATAGTCCATGTATTCATTTTGAGTCTGACTGGTTCAATACCTTATTAGACCCAACACTCCTATCTGCCCCACTAAGAGGCTTTACTATTCCCCCATTGTCAAGTGAGATGCTAAGTGATTTGTCCAGTTTCCTTAACCATAAAAAGTGGAATTAGTATTAAAATGCAGGAAGCCTAACTCCAAAGCCAGCATCCTTTATCCCTATCTTATCTGCTCTGTCCTGATAAGCAGGACAATTTCAACAGCAACACACAGAGAAGGGGGCAGGATGGAGGTAGTGATTCCTTTGGGTAATGCTTTGGGTGTTTTTGTTTTGAGACGGGACCCTGTATGACCGTGGATTTACTATGGAGCCCAGACAGACTGGCCTTGTGCTAATGGTTCCCCTGCCTTGGCACCTCCAGTGATGGCATTGCAGCTGTGAACCACCAAACTGCTTGAGGGTAACTCTTTCTGAGGTCCCTCTAGGCCCCAGTGGTCTCTGTAAGTGGTCTTACTTTGCTATGGATGCCATTAAAGCCTCTGACCTCAACAGGAAGGCAGGTGCTGCAAGAGTCTGGCTATGCATCCCGGGATCAGGCTACTATACAATTCATCCTGGATCCTGAAGGATTGCCTAGCCAGTGTCCTAGCTGTCAAAAGGAGACCAGAAAGGGCGGAAATATTCTGTGGGACAGGTGTGGGACTTCTTTGAGGCATGGCAAGCCCTTCTTATCTTCCCCAGTATTTATCTTTGTTTCCTAGGCCATAGCCCCTGAAAACCATCTAGTTGTTTTCCACGCAGAAGAAATTATTTTAGATTACAGACTCCCTGAGTCCGCTTCTCTGGTCATACTCATGAGACAGCAGGTCTGTTTTTCAGCTTCTCTGTCCAGTCCTTCCTATAGCGCCATGGGAAATGGCTAAGTCAGAAAAAAAGGGGAGGTTTGGAGTGGAACCACAGGACTGTATCTGGGGAAACCGAAGCTGTCACCATCAAGATGGCTGAGTATGGGTCAGGGGGTGCTGTGTTTGGCTATGGCCAGTTGGTCCCAGCCATCACCTGCTGAAATCTGATTCCCACACAACAGTGGGGAGATCATCAAGAGCAAGGTGTGCCCATCTTTTTTGTTTTTCTTTTTTGAGACAGGTATCACTTATGTATCCCTAGCCCTAACTGGCCCAGAGACCAGGCTGGCCTTGAACTCACTGAGATCACCTGCCTCTGCTTCCTGAGAGTTGGGATTACAAGTATGCCCAGCTGACATGCCCATCTCAGAGTGGGCTTCTCCCAAAGAGCAGGGTGCTGGAAAGCAAAGTTGTTCTGTGTTTTCCCACACTTCCGCTTGACCTTCTGCTTTCTGACGTGCATGCGCCAAAGCAGCCCAGATGTCCCCCCTAGCACCACCCCCAAGCTAATCATGCTGGCACCAAGCTCTCATACCTCCTAGCCTCCAGATCCAAAGGCCAGAACAAACCTCTCTCCTTTATCAATTACCCAGCCACAGAAAATCAATCAATATGGGGTATCCTGAGACCGTCCCTCTGTGGCTCATGAGCATCCTTTGGTACGCCCTACCCCTCTCCTCAGAGACCAGTTCTAGGGCAGGGAAATTTCTTATCCCTTAGTTCTAGACTTTCCTCTGTCCCTGTATCCATAGGCCCTGTGTGGCTACAACTCGGCAAGAGCAGCTCAGGGGCAGAGGGTGAGCCGGTACAACATGTGTTCACGGAAGTTAAACATTCACCCAGTGCTCTCGGGAGGCCAGAGGAAAGCAGAGCTGCTTCATCCTGCAGCAAAGCACAGCCTCCCTTGCTTAGAGAGCATCTCAACCTCTCTTCTCATCCCTCTCACACACCCCCTCCCACTGCAGCAGCCTGATATGATGTCACCGCTATTGTCCTTAACCCTTGCTTAAGTCGCCTGTGCTCACCCTGACACATGTTGCTGTTTACACTTTAACTTTCTGGAAGAGGCTGTGCCAGAGCTCATCAAATCTTTGTCCTCTTGTGTGAGGACAGGGGAGCCTCACGTGAATGTGGAGGTGACAGAGAGGTCAGAGGCCAGAACTATTTGTTTATCCAGTATTGCCCGAACATCTTCCCAGCTGCCCAGCTTTAAGTGCTGTAGGCTTCACAGTAAACAAAATGTTAAGAGTCTGATACGCCAGATCAGATTGCAAATTCTGTGGGGCCTGGAGGAAAATCAACACCAGCCTCCATTAGGAGGCGACTTACAAGCAGTAACTAGTGCCCTCCTCCTCCTTGTCCTTTTCCTCCCCTTGCCCAGGAATCTCACCACCCCGATGTCTGCCCTGTTCACCTGCTGTATTATCAGTCGGGAGTCAGAACTGTTGCCTCCCGGATAAGTATTCATGGCTAGGAACTGAATGAGCAGTGACTGAATCTGAGAACTGTGCTGTGACGTCCTTTGCCACACCCTGCCGTTGCTAGGATCCTGCCTAGAGGGACCTGCTTGCCAGGGAGCTCCTGAGAGCTCCGGAAGCAGAGCCCAACAGCAAAGCTGGACAAGGCGGAGTGGTCCACGGCTCCCCCTGCCTAGGCAGTACTGGGTCACTCACCTTTGTAGTAAAAGAGGCAGCGATCGACTAGGACAAACCAGCGCTTGTTCCACTGCTTCACCCCGGAGCTGGCCTGTAGGACACACACACAGACAGACGGGCAGGCCATGAGCTGGGTGCGGAAGAGGAGGCAGATGCAGCCAGCACTGCGCTGGTTACAAGGACACTGGGCTTGAGCTGCAGCGCCCCGCCACTAGCACGTGGCAGCAAAACTCCCTTGAGATCCCAGATGCTGGGAACTGACATCAGATTATTGCCTGTGACTCTCCGGTTCTGTGGTTCTGTCGTTCTGAGGCTCTGGACCTCTCTTGGGGAGGATAAAGGGGGCAAAAGGTACCCCAGAGTGAGTGAGTAGAGAAGACAAGAATACAGCAGTGTCCATCCAGGGAAAAGTGGTAAACTCCAGTACCTGAAGCTACCCCACCCCCACTCAGCAAGGGGATGCGCAGGGAACGTGCCCTGTGCTCTGATTGGATTACTGACCTGGAATATTTCAAAGTCATTGCATTTACCCCTAAGGAACCTCATTTTGGATCCCCAAATTTGACACTAACTTTGGGGAGGTTTTCAATTTCTGAGAATTTTTATACAACTGGGAGACGCTCAGAGACAACAGAAAAACACACCAAAGAGGACATGGGCTGCTGAGAGTAGAGAAGACCCAGGCCATGAAGAAAGTGCTGGTCACTGTAGGCAATGCAGCAGGGTGGTCTCACCTGTTTGAAGAGCCAGCCGGCCTTGGTGACAGGCGCATTGGGGTTTCGCTTCATGGAGTGTGAACGCTTACCAAAGGCAATGGCTTTGCGGGAAGTTCGAGTTGCCTGGAGGGGCAAAGGCGGCAGTTAATCCAACTCCCCTCTCCCCTTATAGCTCTGTTGGCAAGGGAGTGGTCCTTGCTAATGGGCATATCCCTTCAGTGGGCCCCTGGCACCCTCCCGCTAGGGGTCTGGCTGTCAAGCTTTGATCCTCTCTAACTCAAGGGCCTGGCCCTTTAATTCTTTGGCTCTTCTGATCTCAAACAGGAGTTTCAACACACTAGCTGTTGCAAAGCTTTTGTCTTTTCTTCTAGGAGGAAAACAAAGTTTTCTGAGTTTCTTCCAAGTTCTCTTTTACATTTATTTACTTTGTGGGGGGGCACGTGCATGCCTTAGTGAGTCTGGAAGTTAAGAGACCCATCGGCAGTCATTAGGTCTCTGGGATCAAACCCAGGTCATCGGGCTTGGCAGCAAGCGCCTCCCTGACTCCGAGCATCCAGTGGGCCCCAGTTTGCTCTTTCTTTGGCCTGCTTCTCCTTACCACCGCCTCTTGCACAGGCCTCTGGCATGCACACAACTTCCCCACATCATCCCGTCTGCATCCTGTCCCTGTCTCACAGCAGACAGTCCTCAGAGCTGGGAGGGTAGACAGTGTCCCCACGTGTCACTGCCGCGAGGACACATCACTCCTCCTGTGTCTGGCAATGACAGTGTCTCCCTTGAGCACTCTGCTCATCTCTCAGCTTAACCCTTCCTTCTCCTCAGCGTCTGATCCTGGAGCAGACTGCTGTGTCTGGTTTGTTCCTTGTTGCTTTAGTCTAAAGGCTAAGGTGTCAGTCATCCTCTTCACCAGAAGACTTGCAGTCACCATGGGAGCTCTCACTACTCTTGAGGACGGCCCATCCGATGACCTTTTATATGACCATGGTCCCAACTCCAGACCGAGCATGGAGAGAGAATCCAGCTACTCTTGGGACTGCCTTCCAGCTCCTGCCAGCACCCACCTCACCTCAGCCTCAGCACCTTCAATCCTACAAAAACATTTTCCCATCACAACACTTCATCTTTGGATCTTTCTTCCCCCCCAATCCTTAGCTCTACCAGCTGTTCTCCTTCACCCAGAGGCTCAGCTCCTCAGCCCTTCCTTCTCTGCTGGATCCAAGTCAGACTCAAAAACCCCACCTGCTGGCTTTCTGCTCCATCCTTCCTGAAACTCATATTCCAAATTAAGCGAACCACTCAGGTCTTCTCTGAACTCTCAGGAATTAAAGCACGGTTGTAGGGTGGGGGTCACACTGCATACACAGGAGGTCACCAAAAACCTCTAGTCCCCAACCCCAGTTGGGACGAGACCCTAATGGCAACTCCATTTTCCCCTCAAAACACTCCCCCACCCTCCAACCTTTCCCCTATTCTTACAACCACGCTCTGCACACCCAGAGCACAGAGGAAACTGCAGTTATAGGATGTGCACTTCCTCAATTTCACACCCTTTTACTAGAAAATGCTGCCTTCATCACTGCCTTTGCCTTTGAAAGAAGCATCACTCGCCTAGCCAAGGACGATGCTTCTGACCCACGGTCTTGGGAGAAAAGCACTTGCTCTTGCCTAGCATATAGAAGACCCCGGTTTCCATCACATACATACCACACACATGCGCACGTGTGTGCGCGCACACACATGTTCGCATGCTCACCATAATAAAAACATTTAACTTTCTCAGTAGTGATCATCACGTAGGAGAACTGAAATTTCTCCGCACAGCGCAGAAGGCCAGGTCTGCAATGTGTGGCTACGTCTATAACCCGCTTTCTGTGGTGTTAGTACACAGGCCCTATGTCTGCCTCTTCCCCATCTTCCTGTGCTCCCTCTTCCACCAACTTCAGACTTAGCCTGTGAAGTCTAGCACAGCCTCCCCCCCCCACTATAAAACTGTCTCAGGTACCCTCACATATGAGTACATATCACACAGACATAGACACACATCATTAACAGAATATATATTTATGTATAGTAGCTTAATATATATTATATAACATATTTATAAATAGATATGCATTTAAAAGGTGGATTCTGTGGGAGCCTGTAATCTCAGCAGTAAAGAGGAAGGGACAGAAAGGTCCCCGAGACTTCAATAATTTCCAGGTTCAGTGAGAGACTCTGCCTTAAAAAATCAGGTTTGAAAAAGTACATGAAGATGACATGTGACATCTCTAGGGTCTGCAGACACATGCATCCACCCACTGTTGCGTGTACCCCATATACACAATCCTCACACACTCACTGTTGCGTGTACCCCATACACACACTCCCTCACATACCCACTGTTGTGTGTACCCCATACACACAATCCTCACACACCCACTGTTGCGTGTACCCCATACACACACTCCCTCACATACCCACTGTTGTGTGTACCCCATACACACACTCCCTCACACACCCACTGTTGCGTGTACCCCATACACACAATCCTCACACACTCACTGTTGTGTGTACCCTATACACACACTCCCTCACACACCACTGTTGTGTGTACCCCATACACACACTCCCTCACACACCCACTGTTGCGTGTACCCCATACACACAATCCTCACATACTCACTGTTGTGTGTACCCTATACACACACTCCCTCACACACCACTGTTGTGTGTACCCCATACACACACTCCCTCACACACCCACTGTTGCGTGTACCCCATACACACAATCCTCACACACCCATTGTTGTGTGTACCCCATACCGCATTTCTTCTCACACATGAAGACTAAAAACCCCTGTCTGAACTGTTTCAAGTATTTCAGAAAAGCAGGGAATATCACTCTAACCATTCCTTTCTGTTGGTCCCCCCATAAGAAAAGGCAAGTAGAGCTAGGCCTCCCTTTGAGGCTTTCTCAGTCTTGTTACCTTCTCCTCCCCAAAGGCAATCGGTCTTCTGCTCTCGGCTACACACTTGTGCTGCTGCGGTGTCTATGAATATGCAGCCCTGCTCTTCATCTTTGTACATTTTATGTAAGTTAACATACTTTTCAGATTCTGTGAATTGCGCAATTGTGTTTCCAGGGCACGCTTGCTAGCTCGTGCACACAGAGACACACATACTGGGTGTGGGGAGCGTGCTCTGCGTGAGCACCCTGAGTCTGGGGCTGCTCTCTTCTCTGTTTCCCTCGGGATTGCTCTGTTCGCGGTTTCCTTGCGTTTCTACATCTTCTCTCCCCTCCCCTCTCAGCCTTCTGTGCGCATCACGCCTCTCAAACTGCTTGTCGCTGTCTCTGAGTTCCACAGTCACTGAGCCCAAAGGACACATTCCACCCCTTTCTCAATGGATGGCTTCTTCCCAGGGTTCCCTTCTTCCTCCTCCCATGCTGACCCCCCAGAAGAGGTCATCTTTCACAGGAGGTTCTTTTGCTGTCCCCCGAGATCAGTGTTCCTTAGGAGAGGGAGATTTTGTGCCCAGAGGACACTGACAACAGCTGCAGACATGTTTGGCCATAACAAGAGGAGAGGAGGTCCTGTGGGCATCTAACAGGCAGAGCTCAGAGCTGCTTGACAGCCTACACTGCTGGAAACCCCGTCCACAAAGTCTCAAACACTAGTAGGGTTGAGGTAGAGAACCCATGCAGGGAGTCCCATCTCTGTGAGGTTCTTGTCTGGGCTTCCCTTCCGCTCTGCACTGGGTTCCTGTACCTCCTGGCCTGTCCACTGGAGCCTACAGATGTGCTGGGCAGGGAAGGACTTTCCTGGAGATCCTGAGACCCTCCTAACTGACAGCATGTCCTGCCTGACAGCTTGCCTAGAGGACTGGACTCACCCGGATGTTGGGCCGCTCTTGAGGGACCTCTGACACCATGTTGTGGTTGGAGATGTCACTGTTGATGGTAGCAGAACGTTTCCCACCTGTTTTGTTGGACATGTCCAAGGCCGATCTGAATTCAAGTCAATGACAGAAGGAAACTAGTCAGAGCCAAGAAGCAATGGAAAGCCCTGTTCTGCCTCCCACTGTCCCAACATCAACACAAAGCCCCAGCTTGAGGTGCAGCTCACAAGTCATCCCAGGGGCTCCTTTGGTTCTTCAGGGATAATCTCTCTTTTCTTCTCTGTTCATTTATGGATTCGGCTTGGGTTTTTTGGTTGTTTTATTTATTTATTTTTTTGTTTCGATTTTTCCTGATAGGGTCTCTCTATGTAGCTCTGGCTGTCACAGAACTCACTCTGTAGACCAGGCTGGCCTTGAACTCACAAGAGATCTGCCTATCTCAGCCTCCCAAGAGCTGGGATCAAGGCGTGTAACACTGCGGAGCTGACTTGTTGTTTTTTTAAAGACAGGGTCTCACATAGTCCAGACTGGGCTCAAGCTCACTATGTAGCTGAGGATGATCTTGAACTCTTGATCCTCCTGCCTCTGCGAACCAAATTCTAGGATTATAAACTGGTGCAACCCCATGTAGCTTTCTCCTGTCTGTGTTTGTTTAAAACTCTAGACTCTAAGATAATAGACTACCAGTTACTTTTATCTTATTTTGAAACAGGGTCTTTTACTACACAGCCCAGGTTGGCCTTGAAATCAAAACCCTCTAGCCTCAGGCTCCCAAGAAGCTGGGATTACAGGCGAGTACCACTAGGCCTGCGCCTTCTATTTTAAAGGTTCAACATACATAAAGCTATGTATTTGATCCCAGAGGAGGGAAAATTCATTGACTAAAGGCACAAAAGCTCAGTGGTCTCTGAATTATCCTCCCCTTCAGTGAGGCAGGATTCCAATTGAAGCCTGTGCATTTAGACCTCTGATTACATCAGGTTCCCCTGCGCTACCTTCAGGGACTCCCAGGGGCTATCCCAACTAAAAGCAGGCTTCCCGATTCCTTCAGCTCCACCTATGGGAAACACCAACTTGCTCTCTACCAGAACTTGGGAACAGTGTGGGAGGTTGTCAAAAGATGTGGCCCAGAGGTTTCTGGTCCTTGAAGCTGAGGTGAGGAACCCAAACACCTCTTCCTTCATACCCTGCCGAGCCTACACTTAGTGCATCAGGACAGTAGTGGCAAAAGACAGAAGGCAAAAAGCAGGGAACTTACGTTTTCAAGTCAAACTTTTTGTTCTCCTCTGGGACCTGGCCAGTCACTGGGTGTCGAAATGTGTTGCGTCTTTCATTGTGGCTGCAGAGGAAAAAGAGGGGAGAGAGGTGCCATCAGCTGGGGAGGACAGAGTCGTCATAACCCAAAGGATGGCAGGCCATGGAAGGTGCTGTGGCTCTGTTGCCCCGGGGGTCAGGAAGATGCAGGTGGGTGGAGTCAGAGAGAGACTGAAGCCTAGTCACCTCTCCCTGGTTTACTGTTAACCTCCTGCTGGAGAGCTCAGGCTGTCAGAAAGCTAGACTCCATGCACTCAGTGGCCACCTTGGGGACGGGAGGGAGGGTGAGTTGGGGCTTTCCAAGCCTGAGTTTGACACAGTCAAGATCTCATGCAGCAGCTTCTTTTCCAGAGACAGCGCCTGCCAGAGCTCCACACAGAAAATGCTTGCTCATAATTTGCTGGAGGAACTCACTTGTGACCTTGGACTCCCCTCCTGCTCCAAGCTCGTCTCTTTCTTCAAATGTATCCCTGAAATTGAGAAACTCCATGATGGAGCTTTGGGCTGGGACTCAAGCACACTTGGGGACCGTAGTCTCCTGTTGAGAGGCTGCTGGGCATCGCAGAACCCCCAGGATCTGTCAAGCAGCAAGGTCAGTGCTGGCCTAACACTTGCACCTAATTAAGGGCTGCTATAGCCAAGAGTGGGGTTGGGTGTGGTGCAGGGAGCCTGCCAGGAAGCTGGGGGAGCAAATCCCAGGGCAGACAGAGCGGCAGGAGAAGGTGCCTCTGGCTGACAGGATGTCAAGCCAGCTCCTGGGTGAGCTCTCAGGGAACATTCGGAAGGAAAGCAGCAGGGAGCATGGCTTTGGTAAGTGGGGACCACTTGGTAAGAATGTGCAGTGTCTAGCCCACAGGGGCGATATGAGTTTAAAGGCCTTCTTCCCTGACACCTCTTCAGAAATACCTAGAGAGCCCAGCTCAGGCCCCAGTTAACCATGAGAACAGGCATGGAAACAGAGACTGCTAAGGGCACGTAAGCACACCCACAGCAAAGAGCTGGCACTCGGCTCAACCAACCTCAGCCCAGCCAATGCCTGAGCAAAGTGTGCCTAGTTTGGTCCCTTCCACCCTCTCCCACTGCTCCAGGCTATATCCCAGCCTTCAGGATGTCAGCCGGAGCTAAAGGTAATACTAAAGGGTGTTTTTTTCTATGCCAGCCAGTGCTGTTCAGGCCAGTCACGTAAGCAGGTGGTGGCTCCAGCCTCTTAGGATACCTGGAGTTTGTAGCTTGAGCTGGACCTAAAACCTGACCAGTGTCCAGGCCTGAGTTTAAGCTCAGCACATTGGTAACCACCCTCTAGTTCCTCCTTTGGTCCCTCCTCCTTCCTGACACTTACAAGGATGCTCCCTCGATTTGATCACAGGGAATCTTTGCAAGTAAGAGCACCTGCCTGCTACCCTCGTCCTCTGTTTTTGGCTCTGAGGGCAGCAATCTGGGACAATGAAGGTCCTTAAAATGTCAAATTTTCTACTTTGCTCTATGTATGGAATGCCTACGTGCTTCCCACCCACCCTAGCTCTCCAAGCTCCTTCTGTTCTGTGTTCCTGAGAGCACCCTGCAGGCAGTAGTTCAGACAGCCACACACAGAAGGAGTCCGCTATTGCCCAGCTCAGTTTTCCAGGGCATGGCACACCTCTCCCTGCACTGAGCCTCCTACCCAGCAATCCTACAAACAATGCCCTCTTTCCACCCGCTGCTAACAATTTCAAAATAGCTTTCCCTCTACAGGCACTGCAATGCAGTAGTCACTGACCTAACTACTATCCTCTCAGGTCATGGTCATCTCCAGAAGACCCCTTACTGCCGAGCCCTAAATTCAAACAGAATGAGCAACCAACTCCGCCAGCTCTGATTTCACTAGGTTCGTGGTCCACAAAGGAAATCCCTACCTGACCCGTCGATCAGCCCGAAACTTCAACATCTTTTTGGAAGCTCGGTCCCCAGTTCAGCCTCAGAGGAGCCACCAGCCACCCTGCTGCTACCATCCCTCTGAGAAGGAAGTCCTTGGTTCCAACTCAACGCTGTGGCAGAGACGCGGGGTGAGCTGGGGCCGGCTCCATGGGTTGCCCTTTCTCCTGGCTCTAGCACTGAAGAACAGGGACAGGGCTTCCTGTGGGCAATGGGAGGGGTAGCCCAGGTGCCTTAGGGGGGCTGTGGCTGCCTAGCATTCGCCTACGATGCTACAGTTAGAGGGCCAGAGGCAGAATAATTGAAGAAGGGACCTCCTCCCAATTCAGGTTCCCAAGAAGGAAATGCAGAAATGGAGAGAGGCATGCACGGAGCAGGTGTGCAGCTTCCAGGTAGTCCGACCTCACTGAGCTAAGGACACCGAGCAGCTGGGCGGGCGGAGGAGCATGGGCTGCATTCCCATCTGCACGGAAACTTATGCCAACCCGACCTGCAGGGAGACGGTGCTCCAGCCTCTCCAGTTCCGAGCCCAGACACTGGCTCTGGGGCTGCAAACCAACTTGCGTCTCAGAGACCTTCTAAGTCCTTCTGAGGGTTAAAAGGAAGCTTCAGGTTCATTGGCTGTTATTGTTGCTGTTGCTGAGAGGCTGAGGAGAATTGAAGAAGGCTCCGTTCCCTCCTCTCAGCCTGCCTGGCTTCCATCTGTACGGACAAGATCATGATACAAGAAGCGGCTCTGCATCCGGCCTGACACACTCCCCTCTTCATCTGCTTGCCCTCTGAGGGTACCGGCCTGGCCGGTAAGAAGCTGGACAGATGCAGTCTGGGTGGGATGGGCAGGATGTCTGTGGAGCCCCAGCTGCTGGCCAAGATCAGCTTCTTCACTCAGAAGTGGAAGGAAACCTTTCTCCCAAGGCTGGTGAGGAAGAGGGCAGGGATCGGGGCTCGAGGGGGGGTCATTGTGTATCTATTGCTGCAAATCTTCCCAGATGCCGGCTGATAGATTCCAGCTGGTAGCTGTCAGATCTGCTCACGTGAGGTTTGCATGGATGTTAATTCCCCCGAATAGGTCAAGGCTAGACAAATCCCTTTGACACTGTCCTCTTGCTTTAGGAGTCTTGGGCTGCAAGGTCACCTCCTTATCCCCCTGCTTCCAGACAAGCTGATTCTCTTATCAGTCCTCGTCAGTGCCGTAGAGGTCTGGAAAGGATTCCAGCAAAGGAGGACCCAGGCTCAATGTCATCTTAAATAGCCAGGATGCTCCTCTGCCTTCTGTATGCTTCTACTTCACATGACAGATTCCTTTCTGACCAAGGTGCTTCTTTTTTTGCAGCACCAGGCCTTCTGTTGACATCACGGTCTGTTGTTATGGCAACTCTGTGATATCACAGTAGACACTCAAAGAGCAGGACTGATCTAATTGTTTGGACTGAGGTCAGGGGAACAATGGGATGAGTACATGGAAAAATAAACGGACAACATTATTATTTAACCCGTGATGAGATGAATTAGCCAGGTGCAACTGGCGTCACGGCTGTTGGTATTTAAAAGGCTAATCAGAAATCCAAAAGGTCAATATATTCAGTCATTTAGTGGGGCTTTGGTCAATGATTTATCTTGGTGACAGGAGCCTTAGGTCTGGGCTTGAACCTGTCTCCAGCTGCTTCTTGAGTTCCCTGTCTGCTCACCATGGGGACTCAATAAAGTTTTTTTGAATGTAAAAATGAACAGATAAAAGAGACTCCGTGCTCTGGTGTCATTTTTAGCCACCTGCCTTTAAAGACTGATATTCTATTACCAAGGGCTTCCCTGTCTTAGCTCTCTCTCACAAAATTAATTACTTCCTCTCTGGGAGGGAACCTCTGTTTCTGTCCCTTCGCCCCCTCACTCAGCTTCCCTGACTGGCTCCCCCCGAATATATGGCTTGGCTTTCATCCATCTTCATTAAGAGAAGCAGAAAATTAAGCTCATCTGAACAGGAGGAAGAGGGGGTGGGGTGCATTGGGAAAATGAGTTTTCTTCCTCTAGGAGGCAAAAATATCCCCCTTCTCTTCAAGCTGAGCTCAGGGGCCTCCCACAGCCTTTGCTCAAGTTAAATTACTTCTCTGGTACCATGTGAAGACATCACAAGGGAGTGGGGATGGAGGGCACAGATTCCAGCGCACCGAGAGCCCCCAGATCCTCGGGGTTAGGTCAGAAAGCAGAGGGCTTGGCTGATGTTGCTCACCAATTATCCTGCACAGAATGACAGCTTCTCATTTTAAGTAAGGCAGCAGGAAAAAGTTACGAGGTGTAGGATGTTTTAAAAAGAAACCATTTTCTTCCTCGTCTTTACTTCCTTTGGGGATGTCAGAAAAGCTTCCCCTTCTCAAGGGCAGACAGCTAAGGTGACCTTTCAAATTGCACTCCCCAAAAGTGAGAAACTCGGGAAGAAAAGACTTTGTGGCAAAAGAAAGAGCATCCTTGATTTCCAGAGTTGCCCAAGAGGTGGTCACTTCTCTACTGGACCTAGGAGGTGGCTCACTTGGAAGTGCCATCTGTGGAAAGGAACCTGGGCAAGCCGGTCTTCACTGCAGGACACACTGAGTCTGCAGCATGGCCTCATCTGTTCAGCCCTGAGTTTGCTCATGTGAAAACAAGGCCTCTTCTAACTCCACGACTTAACCCCGACACACTTGCAATGTAAAATGTTTCATGCACAACACAGGATGGCTACAAACATTCTGCTTGAAAATGGTCCAGAAATCGCTGAGTGTGAGAGTGAAAGTGGGGAAACCAAAGACAGATGAGAGGGAAACCACAGACAATACTCAGGATGGGCTGGGGGGCAGGCATTCCACAAGTACCAAGACATACTCTCTCCACCTCATTAGGGCACTTCTGTGGCTCAAGAATCCTCGGTTTCTCTGTGGTGTGCACCTGGCAGCATACAGTTAAAACCAGAGCCTTCACTGCCCTGAGCAAGCATGCATGCACACAAACATACACACACACACACACACACCACTCCCGGGTAGATGTCTCTACTGACTCCTACTGTAGCAAATACTGAAAACATGAGGAATCCACTCCACCTACCCCGCTGTACCAAGGAGCTTCATTTCCATAGCCCCAAGAATCTGCTGACAGGATCAGCTCCAGACATGCTTCCCCACACTCCGAATGCCCATCACCGGCACTGAAGTTCAAAGGTGCTGAGGAGAGCCAGGGAGGGGCAGCAGACCAGCCCTCCCAATTCCTTCTTTCTCCCAGCCAGCAAATTCCAGCAGGGATTGATGGCAGGGAGGGCTCTGCAGCCAACAAAAGGAAGCTTGGCTCTTGCCCTGTTTCCCTGTCTGGGTCTCATCATTATTGTCTAAGCGCCTTATCTGCCCCAGCATTCTGTCCCAATTAAAAACCAGCTCAGTTTACATTTCCAGCTCTCTAGATTGCTGGATTCCTGAAGCTCCCTGGATGCCCTGGGAGAAAACACTGTCCTAGCCAACCGCTCCCCACAGCAGCCCCTGCCCTACCCAAAGCTGCTGCATCAAAAAGAAACCAGGCGAGGATCATGGCCCAGGCAGCAACTTTCAGGTGGAAAGAGCCCCTTCTACAATGCCCCTCTCTCCCCTCTCCACCCATGGAGCAAAATATTAGTTCCAAGGTGCTAGGAACAGCTTCCAGCTGTCTCCTCTCGCTGCCTTTCACTTGTTCTTCCTTTCTTCTCAGCCCCTGCTCCATCCCTGCTTTTGATGCTATTGTTACTTCTGATATGGTATGAATAGTATGCTCTCCCAATCAAGGGTGGAACACCCTAACGTGCTACGACCCTGAACTGAGTGTCCAGAGGACAGGACCCAGTACTGCTCCTGCCCATTCTGTCTAGTCCCATAGCCCCACACTACCCTGAGTGGTCAGTAGCACCTCCCCCAGCTGTGGTGGCCAGAGTAGGGAGGGGATGCCAGAGAGATTCACTGAGATCAGTCCCTACCTTGGGAAAGGGAGTTGGCTCAGTTACGAGGAGGGTGCACACTGGGGAAGCACAAGTCAGGGCCCTGGGTGTGCTCCCTTTCCCTTCCAGCCCATGCAACTGCCCTCCTTCCTGTCTTGTGGCATGGTCAGCTTATTCCTACCATAGGAGAGGGGGCAGCCCAGGGCACAAAACAGAATATACTCTTCAGTTAGGGCAGAAAGCAATTATACAGGCAAACTCATGCAGCTCTCCTACCCTATACACCTCAAGTTATATTGTCTTGAAATTAATTATTTTACTTTGTGGGATTCTAGCTATCTTTTGAAAGATGGCAGTGACCTGGGCAGATCAGTGTAACTTCTTCCTGTTAGCAGGGGAAGAGCTGTTTGTCACACCTCTCTAGGGTCAAGCTAGCTTCTCTGGCCAGTGCCCGGGACCTGGCTACCTCTCATGGCCCCAGGTCCTGCCACAGCACCAAGCCAGCATCCTCTCTGGCCAATGATGTTGTGCACTGTTCCAGGTGTGGAGGCGTCTGACTCTAAGTGCCTGATGACCTGTCTAGTGGGTGAGAACTACAGTCAGTCCTGAGACCCAGGAGCCCTCTCTGCGTAGAACAGGACATGTCCCCTTAACCCAGCCCAGGCTAGAGAAGCAGAGTGAGCCTGCTCTCACTGTCCCCACACTGTGTTGTGGCTCCTTTTGAGACAAGGGGAAAAATGGAGAGGGAAGAAAGCTACCTGCAACCCAAGTCCCCACTTTTTTCCCCCTGGCCGTCCTGAGGAGCCAAGCCAGATACTAGCAAGGCAAGGCCGGTTCAGTCCCCAACCACCCTCATCCCAGCTTCCTCCCTTCCCTTCCCTCTCTTCCTATCTCCCCATTCTTTCCTCGGCCTCCAGGGTGCCTTTCCCCAACAGTCAGCAAGATTCCCAGGGGTGAAGGGACAGAGTAATAATTAATTGGGCTTCTTCCCTTCCCTCTGGGTGGAATCCCAAACTCTTGGCCTACAGAGGCTGAGGGCAGCACGTCTGCTTCCGTGTCAACTGAAGGTCACCCAAACCATAGCTCTTCATTCCTAACTCAGAAGATCTGGTTCTGGTGGCCCACAGGGCTCAGCAGCCCCACCCAGCCTGCCCCACGGAGAGAGAATTTTACAGTGAGTGTTTGGACAGTAACAAGCCAGACCGACAACCTCAGAAGTATCCTGTGCCTTCTTGTTCCTCATCCAGCGATTTGAAACTCTCAAGCTGTTCGATGCCTGTCTCCTCATTTTTACAATAAATCAGCAGTAGCGAGTGGTGCCTGGTTCCACAGTGTGGAACAAAGAAAATGAAGCTCCCTGCTGTCTGGTCCTACCCTGGCCCTAGGCAGGCCAGGCCTAGGGCAGCATCAGGAGGATAATGTTTATTGTTCTGGCCACAGCGAGGGGCAAGCCAGCAGTCTCCTTGGGATTGCCTAGGCCTACTGTCAACTTCTCTGCTGCATTCCTCATTCCCCAGGATGAGAAGCCACACGGTTCTGGTTTCACAAGGCTCCAAGAAGACAGCAACAAAATCCACAATCCCTTTTGTCAGCTACAGGTCTGGAAAGGACACATGATATGGGTTGGGGTGACGATGCCCAGGTGCAGGGGTAAGTTAGAACAACCTAACTAACTGCCTGAGTCTTTAGGCCTGTGCCCAATCCTCACCTCCTGCACAGAGGTGAACAAGTGTTTGGTGGAGGTCACAGGACAGGGACCCAGGTTGCTCTCCTGGGATGCTGAAGATTGCTCAACATCCCACCTGTTTTTTGCTCCTTCTCTTGGTCAGCAGACTCTGATTGGTCACAAAGCTGAAACTCTGTCTAGGGGGAGATTACACAGTCATAAATCTCCTAGAACTAGCAGGCAGGAGCCTAGACAGCTGTTCCTAGAGCGAGGAGCCTCCTACATGATGGTGCACGAGGACCAGATGCCAAGGCAGGTGGGAGGACAGTGAGGTTGTAGCTGGCATTGCCCCTCACCAGCCCAGTCTGTGAGACTTTACTGAAGAGCTGCAGTTGGGGACTGGGAGTGACAGGGCACAGTGGCATGCAGGTGGGTGGTGGGAAGTTCTGACTGTCTCTTTCTGCAAAGGGGGGGGGGGGAGTTGGTACTTCCTATGCTCCTTGACAGCTTGCCAAGGGCATCTTTGTGAATCACTGGTATGAGGACGCTCCAGTAAGAGCTAGAACAAGAATCACTCCTGGAACCAGCCAGCATATCTGTACCTAGGAGGGCCCCTGTGGACTAAACAACACTCATGTGACTTCTAAGTGACTAACCCACTCTGCAT